CAATAACCTATATAATGTCCCACGTTGAACATAGTAACACTATAGTTGATTTACTCACTCTACTTTAGTATTCGTGTTATCGCTCCTACGCTCTTCCTATCGTCTTTGTTGATGGGGGGCAGCTGTTGAGCCTTCTCACAAGCGCAGGAGTCGGCTGTTATAGGAAATAAGGTTACTAGCCCCGTAATACTCGGCAATACACGATGGTGGCAGAGGAAGAGTGGTATGTAGTCCATAGAAGGGGGTAAGGTGGAGCATGGGGGGGACCAGTCGAGGCTCGTCTCAATTCTTGACACTAGGAAGGGTATTGCCGACTTGTTGAGCTCTGTGTGGGCCCTACAAAATGGCTCGTGTTGAATAGCATTGTGCGTTGCGTTTTAGTATTGAATCTTACAAGTTTTGCGGCGCCCCCTACCTCGTGTAGGGCGTGGGGGCTCATGGGGTCCGCCGTAAGGATGGGCTCGTTCCCCCCCCCCCCCCCCAGAGGGACTCTTTGGGGCCCTGAGGTGTCCTCCACACTACTACGAGTGGAGGAGGAGGAAGGTTGAGTCCATCTGAGCACCCCGTCTGTCTAGGGTGATATCTCTGCTGGGATTGAACCCACGACCTCCAAGGCCGCGATTAATTAAAACTCAACGGTCTTGCTCTAGAGCGATTGTCTTGTGCATTTTCGAATTCACGATAAAGCATACTACTAAAGAAGTGATGCAACTGTCCCGTCAGATGACTTTCCTAGCAGCGCCCCTCCCCCTCCCCTTCCCCCGCGTCGACCTTCGGCTACCGGACGCCTTCCACCGTGTCTACTGTGGTGGCTCTGAACCGAATCGTTTTTGCAATATCGACTGGAGGTATCTCCGGTATCGGGCCTGTGAGGTGGGGTGGGGGGCTGGCAAGCCTCTCAACAGGTTCACACTGGTCGAGAAGGGAGCTCTCAATGTTGTCTGAATGCCTGCACACCTTTTGCATACCACCACACACTGAGCTTAGTGTTGTCAATTTGAGTCAGTGAGTTTGCTAAAGGCGTCATCCTCTCCTCCTCTGCCCAAGTAGTACACTATTCAGCTATGAGTACTCCCCAACCCAACAGGATGAAGATAGTAGTATCACCACTCAGCGTGCCACAGTCAGTGCTCAAAGGGCCATCTGACGATGAGTATAGGAGTGAGACATCCCTACCGCGGACCTCCTTGTCGAGGCTGCCCGAGAAGAGGGTCCTCCAACCAAGCCTTGTGGAGAACACTGATGAGAACCTGAGCCCATCCACATCGAAGAAGCCGTGCTTGAGGGTCTCTTTGGCGGTCAGTGAGAGCAATGCTGATCTCAAGGCTGAGATAGGGAAACTGCAGGAGAAGATAGCGTGGATGGCCTCAACTAGGGGAAGTGAGGTTAATAGTGGCCTAAGACTGGCGGACTTACAGGAGGAGCTGCGGCAGGAGAGGGAGAACAGCGCCAAGTTGAAGGTAGGTCGAGGCGGCGGGATGTGCTCGAGGTGTGGTATGGTAATAGTAGATAAAGGCGGAGAGGTTGGAGAGGAGGGTAGAGGATTCAGAGAGGCTACAAGAGGCGTTGGGAAGTGCCAGAGAGGAGGCCCAATCAGCAAGGAAGCAGGTCACGGTGAGAGGAGCATGCCCCTTGTTGGTGAAGGGCCAAGTAGTGGAGCTATTTAGGCCCTAGAGATGAAGATTGCTTCTTACGATGACCACGATAGGACTATAGCGGCTCTCACTAAGATGAACCAGGAATTGGACCAACGGGCCACGGAGGCTGCTAGTGAGGCTGAGGCTGTGAGGGAGGTAAGGGCTGAAGGCAATGTCTCTCCTCCTCAGCTGAGCTCGGCAGTTTCCTCACTAATTAGAATCAGGGTAGAAGTGTTCATGAACTAACAAGAATTCCCTCTGAGTGTTTATATTGTCACCGACATGTGTAGTTGACAATGTTCATATTTTCCCTTCACGGTCATTCAAAGAGCTAGGTATAGTTCTATACTTTCCCTGTAGATGTATGAGGAGAAGTTGGAGGCGTTGGGGGAAGAGATGAAGGGTCTCCGGTCCAACTGGGAGGAGTCTAGGAAGAGCCTTGAGACCGCCAGGGAGGAGGCTGAGCAGCTGACTGCTCGACTAGAGGGCGAGAGAAGGGTGGGACCAGTCGTCGTGATGGAGTCCATGTATGTAGCCTTAGGCACGTTGTGAGGAGGTAGAGGAGATGCGGATGAGGATGATGAAGGCTGGGGAGGAGTCGGAGGAGAAGGTCAAGGGTCTCACTGTTGAGCTGGAGGAGGTGAGGGCCCAGTGGGGGGCTGTTGAGGCGAGGCTGATGGAGCGGGAGAAGGTGACGAAGGGCGGAGGGTGGAGAGGGGGATTGGGAAATATGAAAACTGTGGGGATCTTTATCGGTTTCTGGATGTTTCTACCGTAATTAGTATATAAACTCCTATAATCAGTGAGGAAACCTCTGAGCTCAGCAGCTGAGGAACACTTGATTTTTCTCAGGAGTATGACTGTAGAGTTAAGGAGCTAGAAGAGGGTATGCGTGCAGACCGGGAGGCTGTTGTTGAGGTGAGGAGGGGGGAGGGGATGCTTGTGTGGAGGGACTAGTGTGTTCAGGAGGAGTCGAGGATGCTGATCGAGATGAAGGCAGAGTTGGAGGATAGGAAGGTTCGTCTGGAGAGAAGTGAGGAGGAGGTGGCTGCACTGCAGAGGGAGTTGATGATGATGAAGGGGGAGGACGAAGGAGGGGGAGGGGGAGTAGCTGAGGAGGGGGGAAGGAAAAGAAGGAGGAGGACCACCGATCACGTGAGTAGTTTTCTCTATGGTAGTGCTAGCCCTGTAACTCATCTCTTGGTTTCCTTCTCTGGCCTTCCCTATGTGATGGGAAATTCTCTTCGAATAGAACCTAGAGTCGATTCTGGGAGTATTAGCATGCTGGCTTTCTCTCGTAGGGCGAAGCAGTCCGAGCGTCCGTGGATCAATCTATAGCAACGGAGGGGCCTGCTTGGGCCCTTATGGTCAATGTCTCTAGCAATACGGCTTTTATTGAGGAGGATGCTACTGTTGGGGATAGGGAGGTTGATGAGGAGAAATGGCGTGATGAGGTGGACAGGCTCACAGATGCTCTGAAGGAGTCTCGGGGAAGGTTGGCAGCTGCTTGGGAGGAAGGCGAGAGGCTTGCGGGGCTACTAGAAGAGGGTAAAGAGAGGGCCGAGGTGTTCATGAGGCAGAGGGATGGGGAGAGGAAGGGGATGCGGATGATGATAGACGATCTGGAGGAGGAGTTGGAGCGGTATAAGACCTGTCTGGCGGAGCGGGAGGCGACGGAGGTAGAGGCTATCACGGAGGCTATACTGAAGGATGCTACGGAGAGTGCGATCACTATGGCGGTGGCGAGGGAAATGGGGAAGTCTAGTGAGGGTCTGAGGATGGGCCTGGAGGAGATGCGGGGTAAACTATGTGTGGAGTGGGGGGCCAGGGGGTGCCTCGAGGTAGGTGATGGGTTGTTGGAGGTCATCATCGTTAATGCTAGGAGACCAACAGAAGGCTGGAGATGATGTTGAGGGAGGCCCAGGGGGAAGGGATGGAGGTAGAAGATGGGGATAGAGGTCGTATCTCGTTCAGGAGTGCTTTAGATACGACACCAGTGTGCTGAGCTGAAGGCGGCAGTAGAGCGTTCAGAGCGGGAACGGGAGAGTGTTTCGATGGTAGGGCTGAGGGGAGGGTTATGTTGTGGAGGTTCCTTCCAGATGAAGGAGGAGGAGACGGAGGCTATGAATCGACTGGACGAGGCAGTGAGGAAGCTGGAGGGGGAGCGGGAGGAGGTGCGGGGGAGATGGGAGGAAATGGAGGGCAGTCTTCGAAGGGAGCTGGAGGTGAGGGGCGAGGGCATCTGGGGGAGGGCGATGGGGTCGACCTCAGAATTTGGGGGAAGAGATGATGCAGTGGAAGGAGCGAGCGGGGGAGGCAGAGGAGAGGCTGCTGGAGGAAGCTAGGAAGGCTGAGGTCAAGGATGAAGAGAGACAAGTACGTTTGTGATGAGGTATAGTGGTGGAGGGGGAGGAGTTTAGGTCTATGAGGAGAAGCTTAAAGAGTTGTCTCAACAGCTGTCGTGCTCTGGTGACACGACAGAGAGGCTGATGAGGGAGCTGGAGGGGGCCCGGTTGGAGGGAAATGAAGTTCGGCAGTGCTTGGTGAACCAGAGGGAGGTGTTACTGGCCGTGTGTGGAGGGGTTGTCGAGGGTTGCGGTCCACGCTTAGGGCTATGAGAAAACGATAGCTCAGCTAGAGGAGAATTTGCGAGACGTGGAGGGTAAGTTGGCAGCTGCTGAGGTGAGTGTAGAGGAGTCCAGAGTGGAGCTAGCGGCACGGGAGGAGGAGCTCAGTCGGGAGGTGAAGGTAGGAGGGAGGGGGAAAGCGGTGTTGGGGTCATCCTGCTGTATAGGAGAGAGGAGAGGCGGTGGAGGGCTTGGAGAGGCAATTGGAGGAAGCGAGAGGGAAGGTAGGGTGTTTGATCTGAAGACTGGGAGGGAGCGGCGTTACGCAGGTTGACGAGCTACAGAGGGCTCTAGTGGAAGAAGAGGAGAAGTACTCCGTGTTGGCTCAAGTAGGTGGAGGGGACCCTACGGGAGTGTCCTAACATGGTCTCTCTGCTGCAGACGAATGAACGGCATATTGCGGCTTTAGAGCGGCAGATAGAGCAGGCTAGGGTGGGGTATGAGAAACATATAGATGAGGTTGGTGGGGGAGAGATGGTCGCCTACGTGGGTTGGTGAAAATTCTGGCGATTTCTACCCGAAGTCGCGTGTAAACTTTTATACTTGAGAAATTCCTGAGCTCAGCTGAGGAAAGCGAGCATAAATTCCTCCAACGCTGAGCCCCCAGTAATTGTGTGGCAGATGAATAATCATCTGTTGGAAATACAGAGTGATCATGAGGTAGAGATTGCTAGAATCGGCAAGGAGGCTATCATAGAGCACGACGAGCTCATAGAGGTGGGGCTGCTGGACTGTGGTGGGCGTTGGGCAGGGTCCTGTCTAGGCCTACAATGCCCGTATGGCTCAACTGCAGGAAGAGATTGATGAAAAGGATGCTAAGGTGGGAGGAGGGGGTGTGTGCTCCTATGCAAGAGTCTTGGATGCGGTAGATAGAGGCGTTGAGTAAGGAAGCAACTGTATTAGTGGAAACTCTGAAGGATGCTGCTCGTGATGAAGCCGCACAAATCAGCGAGGTAGCAATGGCAGTAGTCGCCTACTGCGGAGGGATGGAGGTCAGGAATACGAGGGGAAGATGGAGGACTTGGAGAAGGAGCTGGGCAGGGTTAGAGCTGAGGTTGGTGCTTATCGCTGTAGTAAACTGTACAGCTCGGCCTTGTCAGTTGGAGGAAGCGAAGAGGGAGGGCGAGGGGCGTCTTGAGAGGGCGATGGCTGAGTTCGAGGAGGTGTGGTATTGAATGAAATCGTAGACCTAGAGTCCTACTGGTAGATGCTCCGACAGAAGGAGGCTGAGTACCGACAAGAGCTACAGCGCATGGAGGAGGCAGAGAAGGCCAGGCTGGAGGAGGTGAGGGCCATCCTTAGGGTGTGGTGATGCTGGGGTGATGGTAGAAGGAAAAGGAGGGCGAGCTTGTGAGGGGGGAGCTGCAGAAGACGATAGCGCGACTTTTCGAGGAGAAGGAGGAGCTCGTGGAGGTAAGGCTGATGCGCTTGGCCTCACTAGGACGATGGTGCACTGTGTAGATGCATGCTAAGACTGAGGCTATGTTGGAAAAACAAATGGCAGAGGTGATGTGTTGAGGACCGTAGTGAAGTGGAGGTTACCTTGCAGGAGACCTCGAAGGCTACCAGCGACCGAGCTCAGCTGGTGGTATCGAACACAGCACTCTTGGCGGACATGAAGGCTGAATATGAGGTGAAGGTGGAGCTGATGGAGGAGCGGCTGAGGGAG